TGCTAGCTTAGCGGTAAGCTAGCGGGTCCCTTGAATTCCTTTTTGAACGAATACTATAGAACATTTGATGAGAAAAGACAACGTGTACAATGGTTACTGTTTTATTATGAAATATACTGCTAGATGAATCTAACATAATGGGCATTGAATGAAAGACACACATTGTTGCTTTGGGCCTTCGTAGTTTTTTAGGCCGCGCCCCCTTCTGCCATATATGGAAGTGACCCCAAATTTCCCGGCGCCCCCATCATTCCGGCATCTCCCGGAACACCGGCGTACGCCCGGCTTCATGACGCTGGCCGTCCTCTACACCGGGAACATGCCGAATAGGCCCCGTTGGAAATGTGACTCCAGCTTCAGGACAGGTTCGCTATGTAGATATGTATGTATGCAAACAAGTGACAGGTGATTCGATGTACGTTCATTATGTACATTTTATTGATTACTGATGCTGCATTAGTACATTGTAGATTTTGTTTTTTTTCCTTTAATGGCCTCATGAGACTTGATGTTAATTTATACTCATCGATATATCCCTTCAGTGGTATTGCGTTACCAACATTAGAGCAGTAGTCGACGACACTTTTCATCCAAAACAGGAATAGTAACAGTGGCTGGTTTTCTTTTTAGTGTGAATGTCCGGTGATAAAATCGTTTTATTTCCTTTTGGGAAAATAGACCTCCCCCCCGTGGTGGGCATAAATATTAGCCTGATCTTCGTAGAGATCCACCAACACATCCGGTAAGGAGAATGGCGTCCTCCTGTGGATAGAGACACAGATCTATCTGTTATTTTTGCAGCGTCTCGATGTACATCGAGTAAGTACTCCAAAAATGTAGAAAGAAATTTAAAAGTCTGTCACCTACCTATAAGAAAAAAAAAGTAAAGTTTCCACTAAGTTGGTATTATCATTGATCAGTTATCCTATTTGTATCCAGTAGAAAAAGGTAATTAGAATAAACACATGCATTGCAAGTAGGTCCATAAGAACCTGGATTATCATAATGGATTGAACGTACCTCGTTTTCTGTAGTGGCTGTTCTTCATCACCGTACATGTCTTTTTCTTTTAATACTTGACGTCGCTTCAGACAAAAGAACATAATTGCCAGACAAATGGCAGTAATCGGCACCATAGCTCCAGCGGCTAAGCCGGCTGCTATAGCAGCAAGGTTGTACGGCGGATCTGATCTTCCCTTGGTGGCATTCGTCACTGCTGTTATTGTCTGTTGTTGCGATGTATGGATTATAATGGTTGGCGAGGCTGGTGTAACAAGAGTTCTTGTTAACACGGATGTAATCGTAGTTGTTGGTGGTTCTGATGTGATCATAGTTGTCGGTGGGGCTGATGTGATCATAGTTGTTGGTGGGGCTGATGTGATCATAGTTGTTGGTGCTTCTGATGTATCCATAGTTGTCGGTGGGGCTGATGTGATCATAGTTGTTGGTGGGGCTGATGTGATCATAGTTGTTGGTACTTCTGATGTATCCATAGTTGTTGGTGGGGCTGATGTATCCATCGTTGTTGGTGGTTCTGATGTGATCATGGTTGTTGATGGGGCTGATGTGTTCATAGTTGTTGGTGGGGCTGACGTGATCATGGTTGTTGGTGGGGCTGATGTGATCATAGTTGTTGGTGGTTCTGATGTGATCATAGTTGTTGGTGGTTCTGATGTGATCATAGTTGTTGGTGGGGCTGATGTGATCATAGTTGTTGGTGGGGCTGATGTGATCATCGTTGTTGGTGGTTCTGACGTTTGTTGGGTTGTTTCTTTCGCTGATACAGTAATGGGGGTTTGAGACAATTGCAGAAGCTTTCTGAAATTTTGTCTTTTGATTTGTGTACCTTGTTTTAGGACATGGTCTAGGTTATCTTTCTTGTTTATATTGCTGCAATGGCGGATATATTTGCTGCCAGGCACATTTGGCGTAATCGACTTTGTTTTAAATATTCCCCGTTTGTGTTTGTATGTAATTTGTTTTGGTCGAAGTTTTATGTTTGATGATATTCTGGCTGTAGAATTATTCCTAATTTTTTCGTTTTTCCAAAACGTTTGGTGTAGAATATCCGTGATGACGTTTCTTTTAACTGTGGCTTTCAATTGCTTTCCTGGCGTCTGTTGTCGGGAGAGCTGTCCTTTTTGTTCTTCTCCAAGAACTGTGACGGGGGATAGCGTCAGTCTTATAGTTCTGTTTTCTATTTGTATATAACCAAGAATGAAAAGGGCAAGTAGAGAAATTGCAAAAAACAGCCTCATCACGCGAGATTTTCGAATATCTTTTGCTGTAAGTAGAACATTTGTCAGACAGGCTAACGTAGACATGTTTTTCCGCCCATTCACTGTAAGGGTATGTTTCTTTAATTTGCATTCTTGTTGTAGACTTCTATTGGAGAAAACGTGGTCTGCTGGTCGAGTACCTGAGTATGGAAATACATAAGTTGATTTTCTGAGTAACGTCTTTCCATCATTTCAAACTATTGACCAAATCATACTACATCATAGATCATAGTAATGTAGTCTGAGGTATTTTAACATAGTCCAGTTTGGTCATACATGCATATCAAGGCTGATTTATTAAAAGTGGACCTTGAACCTATAATTAAATTACTTGTCTGGGATATATCTCAAACAAGCATTTAATACGACCCATCCTCGCTCGGGAATTCATTAAGCCTCTGTATTTACAGATGGGATACAGGGCCTACTTGTGCACGTCGACCGGACAAGCTACGTGTTCCATCTTTGACATTTCAAACAGGTAGCGGTAAAGCTAATTGTTTTGGATAAACCCCGTTGCATCCAAAAAGCTGGGCGACTTGTACTTTTTGGTTAAAGAATATCATCAATTGATGTTTGTTATGCAAATGAGGACCCAATTTGCATAATCAATGAGAAACCTTTAACGCTCTAGTAAGACATACTGGGACAAAGATTTGAGCTAACAAAGGAACTGTTCAGTTAAGAACACTGACGACTCGATGTCCAATTGTACCTTTCAGGGGTGTTAAAGGATTCATACGAATTTTAACCGAAGTCAACCGAGTTTTACGCCACGGTCTGTTTCCATGCTGCTAGTTAGAACAAAATTGAACACCGACATGTCAGATTTGTAACAAAAGTTTCAAGGTAAGCAAGATTTGTCAGTTTGATGTGTACATGTAGTGACTGTATGATTCTAACGTTAATGACCAGCTGTGATGAAGCATGTTTGGTTCCTACAACCTTCTCATGCGGTTTATTCGGCGGTTTTTGGAAGCAATCATGTTCCGGGAGGATATGTTTTTGGTGGCGCTGGCGTTTCCTTTCGTTTTATGTCACATGAAATGATCCTAGCATGAAATACAGCAGATTCATATAATACCATCATCAATTATGGAAATAAGACCCTGACTTTCACAATTGACATCTAATTATGTCTACCTACATACGAAAAATTACTACGATCCGCCAAGCCCTTCAAGACAAGATGCTAACCCAAATTTGTGCCACTTCCTTCTCACAACATATCGATATTACTTATTACTCTCCATGTTAGAGTACTCGAGTTATGCTATGTCACACAGACAGACACACTGGTACAAGGCCAGTAAAACACAACCTACTTTGTGAAGCACAAGCAAACATAACCTGAGGGGATAATTTCATGTGCAATTTAAGATCAAGTGATATTCAGGTCAAGAAAGAATGGTAACGAATGACATTTGCAAAGGACAAACAACAGCGTCGTCGTGACACCACCACCAGTTTCCATTGATTAACGTAAGTTATGATCAGTATTCAGTGAGATACAATGGCGCCTTTGAATGTTGAACCTGTCAGTGCCACATGCATACGCCCCCCTCCCCCATGCGCTCAGCTGTTTGCGCTTTACTTACGGCTCGGTTGGCTTCAGACAATCTTTCATGAAGCAGCACTCTACCCAATCTCCAAGCAGAGGTTCTGGGAGAATGATCGTTAGCTTTTTATACATGGCCGTTTTTGTTTGTCGCTAATCCCACCAACTGATTGGTGGCCGGCGACCTTCTCGGGCTAATGGATACTGCCTGGCCAATTTGATACTGTCTTTTTGCCACCGAAAGGGATCTGCTTGGAGATTACACTCTACCGATTTCGCTACCATACGTTTACACTGCACGAACCGAAGTGATGTCAGTTATCAGCTAAACTGGTACCATCTGTAGTTCCAAACTTTGACGAGCTGTTAGTTTAACAAGGAAACGGACTGAAACGGACGTTGTGGTGTCAGTTGTAGGCATTACCTGAAACGTATCCGGCTGGAAATTTTCCTGCATTACGTTTCTCTGAATTACAGAAGAACTAAAGGGACATATAAGAACAGGAAGTACCTGACCTCGCTCATGAATCTGGCTTCATCCAAGACTACGTTTCCTCGCCCAGAAGAGTGAATACATGTACTTAATCTGTACACACACATTGTAAACTAAGTCTGAGTGGATGATTTCACTATACTGGAAGACGCCCTGCTATGTAGTTAACGCCCATGATTATATAAGGCAACACCAAGCGTGTTAACACCGTGAAAGAATAAAGGTATTTTTTGTCAGTCTGCCTGTTCGTCTGCTGTTGGTGTTTCCAAATATTTTGGTCAGCATAACTTAAGACGCTATGAATATATTGTGATGATATTTGGTACGTAGGTAGGTATCATTGGAAATAAAAGATATTTGGTGTGTAGGTATTGGAAGCCAAAGGTCAAAGTCGATTGTGGGTCAACTGCGGTTTTTCTCGGTACTGCAGGCGAACTTCCGGTTTGTATCTTGTATCCAGTAAAGTCAATACAGCCTTTCGATCTCCACAGGTACTGCAGGCTCCCAATGGTTGGAAGTTTAAAAATATCATCTTGACAAGTTGTGAGTGGATCTATGTGATATTTGGTATGTGGGTTCCGGCAGAACGAAGGACTGATTCCATAATGGGCCTCCTATCGACTGTCTGTAGTACTGCAGCAGAAGTTCCAGTTTTCGTATCTCGTGTTCTACCCAGGGATTTGCGAGGCAGAAATTTCCCTGTAGACCCATGCAGAACCATTCGATAAATAAACAAAATAAATAAGTGATCTTTATGACTGACTAAGTAAAGATTATTCCTCTATTATGCAAACAGGATCCTTATATTCTCCACCAAAGACA